AACTTTCTAGAATCATAAAGGAATGGTTATTTTTTTATGAGGTGTTATTCCTTCAATTTTAGAAAATTATTACAGTTATAATTCATGTACCTTTTTGTCATTTACTTGAACTGTCTTTTGAGTTTTTCTATGCATTCAGTAAGAATTACATGTAACACTAATCTTATGGTGAAACAAAATGACTAATACTGAAGTCTGTCAATTTTGATACAAGAGTTAGCACAAAGTATCACATATAAAGTGTAATAGACTTAAAATAAGACCCACAACTCGAGAGCTTTCGAATAGTTGACCATTCTTCTTCAGGAGAACAAAGAAGAATAGTCAACTAATCGAAAGCGTTCGAGTTTTGGGTCTTATTTTAAGTCTTTGTCAAGGTAGTTATGGTCATATGGTAAATCAGTCTGTCACTCTGTGTTGAAATTTGATCATATGTTTTATCAATAGCTAATAACTGTCTCATGTTGAATTGTATCATTGTCTGGCAATGAAGAAAACAGAACTGACGAGAAATAAATATTGGATATTGGAGTTTGTAAAATGGATATTGTTTAAAACTTCGTTAGAGCTTATAAGTGTTATGATTTATAACTGATAAGAGAGGTGATGTATTACTAAGTAGATTTTGTGATAACTTATGAAGTTAGATTTTTTATTTCCTTTTTTCTACCTACTTTTGTCAAGTTACCGTTGCTCAAGTAAGAAGAGCTGGGCATTTAGTGGAACTTGTCCATCAATTAATCATCAGGCTCATTTACCAATGACGTTCAATTAATCGATTATTTTCATATAAAACCTGAATAATAAAAAATGGTAACTAATTTCCGTTAGTTGATTATTGTCATGAGATTAATCAATTTAATCATAATCTTAATTATTTTATTATTTTATATGACACAAATAAATGTAATCAATGCTCTTGGGTAATCGATTAATTGAGTTAATTGCCCTGCTTTAGATAGAAGTTTGAAGTAGTTCGGTTGTGTCATTGGAAAAATATCTGGAAACAGCAATTTCAAATTGTGAGTGTATTCTGTTTAACTTGTGAAAGTTCTGATAAATACTTTTCTTATTTTTTAATAACCATGATACAGTGAAACTCCAATTTAACACAAATTCGGATATAAAGCGATGGGTCATTAAAAAGCCTACTAAAAATTCTTTTTGTTTTTAATTTCTACTGGAACAACAACGATTCATTCACAAAATTCTTGAATTTAGAGGTAATTTACTTGCCAGAAAATGGAACGTGTAAAAAACTAGTC